TGATGCATGCGTCTTTCAAAACATCACAGAGTACACTGTAAGTACAGACAAATTTTATTTAATTACAAATTTAAAAAAATAAAACAAAAACTGCATAAGGAAAGAGAGAGACAGAGAGAGAGAGAGAGAGAGAGAGAGGACAAAAGGATGGAAGGGCCAGTAAAACAGACCCACAGTGTGGCCTGATTGAAAATTTAAACTTTCCTGAAAGAATTTACACAGGAAGCCTGCCGCGGCGGTACACACCCGTAAGCCCACACTCATGGGGGAGTTCAGACAGGAGGCAAGTTTGAGCCGAGCCCAAGCAAAGCGGTGATTTATCAAGGCTCTACCTCAAAATTTAAAAAAGATCTGGGGATGTCACTCAATGCAAGGGCCCTGGGTTCAAACCCTGATACCACCACCATAAAAGAAATAGTTTTTATACAATAAAAATTCAAAGTTGAGCCTGATACAGTGGAGAACATGTGTCATCTCAGCGCTCTGGGAAGCCAAGGCAGGAGGATCACCCTGCTGGCCAACTGAGTGAGCCTCTGCCTCACAAAAAAAGGTTAAAAGGACTAGGGATGTGGCTCAGCGTGAAGGCCCTGTGTTCGATCCCCAGCCTCTCTCTCTCTCTCTCTCTCTCTCTCTCTCACACACACACACACACACACACACACACATACCCCCCCCCCCCTCTCTCTCTCTCTCTCTCTCTCTCTCTCTCACACACACACACACACACACACACACATCATTTCAAGATTATCTACTCACCGCTTCCCAATCAACTATATGTCAGGTCTTAAGCAATAAAAGCCTTAAGCAATACCAGGCTGGAGTTACACTTCTACCCAGGATCCTACTAAACTTAGACGGGGCGCTGCCTGTACTCTGCAGGAGTTACAGAACATACAGCAGTAGGCAAACGTAACTACCTAGAACCCCATAGGCACAGTGCCTGGGTCCTAAACACCCTGGATGCTCTGCCCCGGCGAAGAAGAGCTCATGAAAAGGACACCACCACTCTGCACTGACTTTGGCCTGCCTCCCCCTCCACTGGAAGAGCTGAAGTGGTTCACTGCAAGCAGGGCCTGGAGGACTGAAGCCCACTCCACAAGCCCTGCTTAGGACCCGGTGGCCCTCCCCGCTGCTGCTCCCTCGCCAGCCTGTCTGGTCTATTCTCAAACCAGGAGCATGAGTGGCACCGCATGTTGGGCTACGGCAGCCCCGACGCTGGGCCCTGCCTGCCAGCCGCACGCAGCCGTGCTGACGGGGTAGCTGCCGACCAGCTCCGTCCCGTGCCTGTTGTGATGGCCACAGCCACAGTCAGCCTTCTCCAGAAGTGTGCACAGCCCGGCCGTCACACGTGATCTGCAGGCATGGGGTGGAAAGGTGTGACACACTTCCCTTCCTCTTCAGCGTCCACGGCCAGCCTCTCCTGTAGCACCTCCTGTAAGGAGCCAGCGCCTCCTCCGCGGAGGGAAAAGTATAATGAGCGTATGGGACGTAGTTTTATAGGAGCCACGAGGCTTCAGAGATGACGATCCCTGCTGGGCACGGGGCACATGGCCTATGATTCCAGTTACAGGTGAGGCTGAGGCAGGTGGATCGCAAGTTCAAGGGCAGCATAGGTGACTTGCTGAGACCCTGCTTCCGAATCAGAAAGTAAAAAGGGCCCCGGTTAGCTTGGTGCTCCCTGGGTTCGATCCTGAGAAGAAAAAAAGGAAGGAAGAGTGTGGCAGAGTCAACTAACAACGTCCCTCAGACGCACCACTGTGGTTAAGCCATGCCCGGCTGCTCTCACTGCTCTGTACTTTGGGGTGTGGTGTTCTGAGCCCCAGCACAGGCACGCTGCTAACTGTACCCAGCTTTCTCCAGAAGCAGAAGCAACGTCACTCTGTGGACGTGGAGCGGTGACCATCACACAGATGACATAAGCCCGTGTCCAGGAGGCTCTTCTCTTCTGAGGAGGCGCAAATACCCACACAGGAGCTTACACAAAGGGGATGGGCCGGCCGGGCACAGTGGGATGCACCCGTAACCCCAGCACTTTGGGTGGCTGAGGCAGGAGGATCTCAAGTGTGAGCCCAGTCTGGGCAACTGAGTGAGGCCTTGTCACAAAAATAAAACGTTTTAAAAAGGGCAGAGTGTGTAGCTGAGTGTGAAGGCCCTGGGTTCAAACCCCAAGTCCTGCGAGACAAAAGTGGGGGGCAGAATGATCCTTGGCACACACAGAGTCCAAGGCCCCCGCCTCAGCTGAATTCCCGAAAACTATCTGGTAACGTGCACACCCCTCCGACTCTGACAAAGTCAAGAGACGACTGTGAAGACCCCCTCGCCCAGTTTAAAACAAACCAGAGCATGGTAGGCTGGTAGGGTTCTGGAGGCTGCATACTGGTCATCTCAACTTCCGCTCTGCTGTTACAGAAAACCTGCCCCGCTTGCCTAGGGCTCCTGCCTTGTCCAAATGGCAGCACAATGAGGGCCCAGGCCCCAGAGACCCCCTTCCCCACAACAGCTGTGTGCAGGGTTGGGGCTGTCCTGGAAACGCCTCAGCTCCTGTGACCGCCCTGCGCAGCCGCCCACCCTGCCCAGTTCCCTGCAGTCAGCACCCGGCAGGTGCAGGCGGCTCTGAGACCCCCTGGATTCAGCACGGAGCCAAACGGGAGCCCCCACAGGTCTCTCCTGCAGGACAGGGTGACCGCCCGGTCCACGGTGTCCGCGGACACCAGGTGCCGCTGATGCTCTGCCGCCTGGGAAGCCCTCGGCTCCGTGGGGCTGGTAGCCGGGACTGTGGAGGACAGCCGCACTCACCCCAGCATGGACGGCTGCTTTCCTCACCTTCCCCGGGACGTCCCGATGACCGGCACCCACTCAGCAGCCCCTGCCCACTTCCAAAGATGCCTGAACCGTCACACGCCATCTGCCCGTTTGGGCCCGGCCGGGGCAGCACCATCGTCCCCTGTGCAGATGACACCGGCCCCCAGGCTCCCAGGTCCACACTGATCAAGCTTACGCATGCACGTAGCTCTGCACACACAGAAGCCGCGACTGGCGGAGACGTCCCTTCTCCCTTCAGAGTCCCCACGGTGATGGGAGTGACCGGGCACCCTCCTCTCCGTAGAAGGTGACAGGGCTCCTGATGGGACAGTCACCTTCCCTGCCGCACTTGGGCTGTGGGCATCACAGAGCACCGCACTGGACCAGCACAGGTGATGGCAGTGCTGGGACACACAGCTCCTTGCAGTCGTCAGCCAAGCTCGGGTGGGCTATCGAAGGAGTTGGCCTCTGTGTTTTGTTTTGTTTTTTGATTGACCTCTGATAGCTGTTAAAGTCTTTCCTTCCCTCCTCTCCTTTTTACTCAAGCTGATAAAATCGTGCTGTGAGCAGGTACGGGAGGCTGGGCAGCTGAGGCAGGAGACGCTCAAGTTCAAGCCAGGCTTGAGCCACTTAGTAAGACTTTGTCTCAAAATAAAAAAATCAAAAAAGATGAGGGATGCAGCTCAATGCAAAAGCCCTAGGTTCTATTCCCAGTAGAGGAAGAAGGAAGGAAGGAAGGAAAGGGCAGGGCAGGAAGGGAAGGGAAGAAAGTGCTGGTGCCCCTTCAGGCCACAGGCACCATGACCTGTGCACGGGAGCCTTGACCCCAGCCCCGGCCTGCCGTTCCCTCGGAGGCTGCTTTTGACCCAGGATGGGAAGGCCTCGTCCCGTGTGTCCCAAGCCGGCTCCCCTCCTTTTGTGGGTGTGGCACCGTCAGCCTCTTGGTTCCAGCTACTGCGGGGTGGAGGTCCTTGGTGCACCAGGGAGCCCGGGTGGGGAAGCACATTCAGACACACATCCATTCACACCTCAGAAATGCTCGCCAGAGGCCGTGCTGGGCATGCACAGATGAGAACGCCGACCCACTGCACTCCCGGGGAAAGGCCCTGGTCTGGGCCTGCACAGTGGGGAGGCTTCCCCGGCAGGTGGGGCCTCGAGTCTTTGCACGTGTGGTGAGGATTTGCCATGAAAACGGCGAGGAAGAGGAAGGGGCCCCCGCAGAGTGAAGAGGGGCCGGCTCCAGGGTCGAGATATTTGGCGTTTCTAGACCTGGGAGGCCAAGTTAGGGGCTGAGATCCACGAGGGGCTGAGTCCAGATCTTGCAGGGCCTTGATGGCCACGCTGAAGGGCTGGGACTTCGTCCATGCGGCGAGTGGACCACATTCTGTTTATCATCGGTTATGGACTTCACATCAACAACAGGGAGAGGGTTTCTCTAGGGGCTGAAGAAAATGTTCTGCTAGTAGTAGTGACAGTTGCACGGCCTTGTGAAATTGCGATTGTGGTGGAAGTCACTGGACTGTAGAGTTCAAAGTGGTTAAAAGGCAAATTTTTGTGTTATATTAATTGTACGTGGGGAAGGGAGCTGGGGAGAGAGAGACAGAGAGAGACGGGGGTCTGGTCTGTTAAATGCATCGTTTTATCTTGTTTTTTCCCAATGTTGTAAGACCAGGAAATATCCCATGATGAATGTGAATTTCCTGCTTCCCCGAGAAACCCAGAGGACCTGGCCGGTGGCCTCCACGGCCTCCACGCCATCCAGCAGGGCAGCAGGGCAAATTTCACTGCGTGTAAATGTTGCACTGTAATAAAGGTGACTCCTAAAAGTCCCACAGAAGGGGAGAGACAGTCAGGGGTCTCGAGAGCAAACCAAACGCTAAAGCTTTATCACTGCGAAAGCAGACAGACCTAAGACCCGACGAGAACGGGATGGGGTGATGCCCCCTCCGCGTTTTATCCTCTCTGAACGCCTCACTCCCATCTCCCCTCCCGAGTCTTCTACCTCTCGCTCCCTCCTCTTCCCTCGGATGAGAGGAAAACTCAGAAAAACTGGCAGAGACTCCTGCGGTCTCGTGAAGTTCCTGCTTTTTCTCTCTTTGTCCCCGCCGTTCCGCTCTTCTCTCTCTGTTTCCCTGGGTCTCTTTCTTCCTCTGTGGGTTTTATGTAAGCAATGGCAGCTCCCACAGAACGCGATGAATCAACCTTATGTGGCGTGTGCGGCCTTCCGGCCGAGAAGAGTCAGCCGTGCCTTGAAGCCCTCGCCGCGGTGTCTCCCTTCCTCTTCTCGGGCTCCCTGTCCTCTGCAGCGTGCACCTCGCCCCACTCCTGCAGCCTCTGCTTCCCGCTGCTCCGCCCTCTCCGCTCATCCCTGCTGCAGCGGGGATTAGGACCCAGCTCCAGTCACCGTGAATCATCGGCCCGGCCGGAAGCTGGTGGGGAGGGGAGGACACGGAGTGGGGCTGCTGCCTCCCCACCGGGTCCTTCCTCGCTCCCCTCCCTTGGGCTGTGAAGCTCAATCAGAGTAGAGAAGCCGTCTTGGGGATCACAGGACGCCCCGCCCCGTCCATCCTTCTCATCCCCTTCCCGCAACACAGAAACTGGACAGGCTGGGGCAGCGAGAGCTAAAAGCCTTGCCAGCCTGAGGCCCGGGGCAGGCGGACAGAAGGAAGGGACAGGTGGGGCGGATGTCAGGTGGCAGGGGTGCCAGGTGGACAGTGGGAGGGCTGGCTGGCACAGTGGCCCGCAGGTAGGACTTGGCACAGAGGACTTGGCAGACGGCACGAGGTGAGCAGGGGCAGATGCCAGCCTGCAGGGACAGGTGGGAAAGGTGTGGGATTGGCGGCCGACCTCCGAGACCCTCACTCTCCCCAGACCCCGAGACGGCCCGCCATGGGGCTCGGCACCTTCCTGCTGCTGTGTGTTCTGGGTGAGTTCTATGGACAACGGGAGGCAGGACCAGGGCTGGGTCCCTGTCACCACCCCGGCACCACCTTCACCTCCCAGCTGGGCTCTGACCTCAGCCCCGTTCTAGGGACGGGAAAGGGGCTCCCTCTGCCTGTCCGGTCCCTGGCCTCTGTCCGTCTCTGCGTCTGTCTGTCCCTTTTTCCTCCTGTCTGGGACACTCTGGGGTTTCCCGTGTCTTTGTCCATCTGTCTGTCTGTCCATCGCTCTCCCATCTCTGCATCCCTTCTCCTGCCTCTGTCCCAGTCTCCCGGTCCGTCTGACCCCATCTCTGGCCTGCACAGGTCTCAGCCAGGCAGACAAAGAGAAGATCTTCGATGGTGCTGAGTGTGTCCCCAACTCCCAGCCCTGGCAGGTGGGGCTGTTCGAGGGCCGCAGCCTGCGCTGTGGGGGGGTCCTCATCCACCCGAGGTGGGTGCTCACAGCGGCTCACTGCAATGGCAGGTAAGGCCCAGGGTGGGGGCGTCCTGGGCTGGGCAGAGGAGGCGTCATTCACCTGACAGGGCTGGGCTGAGGACACCAGGGTAACGAGAGAGCCTGAGGTTAGACCAGGACTTGCACTTCCTCAAGAGTGGGCTTGGGGTGGCTGGAGGACCTGGGAGCTCTCCGGAAGCGCCCACCTGTGCCTTCCTCCCTTCGTGTGCCCTTCCTTTCCTGTGTGGCATCTGTCACCAGCCCAGAGCATTCCGGGACCCAGCCTGGACCCAGTCAGGGTCTGGGCCACTTTCTAGGTCTGATGCTCCGGGGCTTTTTATGAAGAGGGAGATCTGACACAAAAGGGGCAAAGAGGCTTGGGGACAGGGACACAGCAGGACGGAGAGGCCCTGTTCCCTCCCTCGCTCAGTCGGTGTGGGCCCAGGCAGCAGACAGGGCAGAGGTCCCTGCCTCCCTCCTGGGCCTCAGTGTCTGAGAGATCAGAAAGAGGCCCAGCGTGGAGGGGACGCCCCAGTCGGAAAGAGCTGGGGACAGAGACCCAGAGGCCAGAGGAGCCTCGGGGAGGGGACGTGGTGGCAGGATGAACACTGCAGTGCGGGCAGCGGGGAGGCCTCTGCTCAGCTGCTGCCTCCCAGCAGGTACTGGGTGCGCCTGGGGGAGCACAGCCTCAGTAGGCTGGATTGGACGGAGCAGATCCGGCGCGGCGGCCTCTCTGTGACCCACCCCGGCTACCGGGGAGCCCTGCAGAGCCATGAGCACGACCTCCGGCTCCTGAGACTTCGCACTCCCATCCGCCTGACCCGTAGTGTCCAGCCACTGCCCCTGCCCAGCGCCTGCGCGGCCGCTGGCACCAACTGCCACATCTCAGGCTGGGGCACCACCAACCAACCATGGGGTGAGGGGGCGGGGTCTGGGGCGGGGCTAGGGAGAGGCGGGGGCGGTACAGTGAGAGGTCCGGAGGGGTACAGGGTCCAAGTGTGGTAGGGAGCGTCAGGATCGGGGCTGGGGGAGAGATGGCGGAGGTCAAAGAGGTTAAGGGTGTGGGCGTGGAGCCAGGAGCCTGAGAGCAGACTGCAGCAAAGGTCACCTAGCGATAGGGTCTAGGTCACTGGAGCTCGGATCACAGATGTTACACAAGCTGTTCAGTGTCTGAATTTAAAAACTGGGATTTTGTCACGCGTCTCAGATTGGAAGCCATGGAGTCTGAGGTCAAATAAACTATGGTCAGAAGACACTTTGGAGTTGAGGGTTTAGGATCAAGGTTAGGCTGAGGACAAGGACACAGGTAAGGAGGTCAAAGGTCAAAGGTCAAGGGAACCCGGCCAAAGGTCACCACAAAATCGAGGCTAAACTGAAACTCACAGGTTTTAGGATTGCAGTGCAGAATACTAGGGGCAAGTAGAGACCCAGACAGGGTTTCCTTGAGAAGAAGAATGTGGCCTCAGACTGGGGAGCTTTGGGGGATCTGCAGCACCCAACTTCTATCCTCAGATCCGTTCCCGGACCGACTCCAGTGCCTTAACCTCACCATTGTCTCTACTGACGCCTGCCGGGCCGTGTTCCCCGGGAGAATCACAGCCAACATGGTGTGTGCAGGTGGTGTTGCTGGGAAGGATGCCTGCCAGGTGAGTGAAAGTGGCCGCAGCCTGGTCACCCAGACAGGAAGTGAGGGATGCAGTAGGGAAAGGGGAGACCGGAAGCAGGGGGGGCAGGGGAGCAGACGGAAGTGAGCTGGAGACAGGGGAGAGCAGTGAGGAAAGAGGAAAGGCTCAGAAAAAGGGTGGAGAGCGATGGAGCACGGAAAAAAGGACCAGAGACAGAGGACAGAAGAAAGGAGACAGCAGAAGAGGGAGCAGAGAAGGAAAGGAGGGTAGGGAGCACAAAGAGAGGGAGGGGAAGAGACAAACGGATGAAGGACAGAGGGTGGAGGATGGCAAAGAACGATCCAGGACTTGGAGCTCAGACAGGGACTCCCCTGTTTCTCAGGCACTCAGTCTTCTGCATGCTATTCAAGGTTGACAGTGAGATTTGGGGACACAGACAAGAAAGGCAACGGGCTCTGGGTCCCACGGAGAGGAGGCCAGGGACAGAACTATTCTCCTTAAGAGAACCCTATGCCCTTATTGAATCCCGCCCTCCTCCTCTGCGATTGGTCATTGGTGATGTGTGGTCTCCCTCCATTGGCCTCACCATTGTCCTTGAGCAACTCTCTATGCTTTATAGAGTCCCACCCTCCAAACGGGATTGGTCAAAGTTGAGGGTGTTCTCTTCCCTCATTGGTCAGAGCCTCAACCATTGCCTGACAGAATCTGCTTCCCTTTACCTTAGAGTCCTGCCCTCTTTCGCCTGGATTGGCCCCTAGCAGTGTATGTTCTTCTCTGTTGGGTGGCCATTGCCATTGGCCTTTGGGAAGGGAGCTTGGCTGTGCTCTTTGCTCCCAAGACCAGGCTTGCAGCCATTGTCCTCAAGGCCTAGGAATGAACAAGAGGGGACAGGAACAGGACTTCTGCCTTAGTCATGCAATTCTCCTTTTCCTCTGTCTTCCAGGGAGACTCTGGGGGCCCGCTAGTGTGCGGAGGAGTCCTTCAGGGTCTGGTGTCCTGGGGGTCTGTGGGGCCTTGTGGGCAAAAAGGCATCCCAGGGGTCTACACATCTGTTTGCAAATACGTGGACTGGATCCGGATGATCATGAGGATCAACTGACCCACTTCCTTCATCTTCACCCTTCACGCCGGGGACCCTCAGCACACCCACTCTCGCTCTCCCTGGTTTGGGGAAGCCCTAGGCACTCTCCTTCCAGCCAGCCCTTCTGAGCCGCAGGCCAGGGTGGGAAGTCTGGGGGAATAAATGGACCCATGACTGAAGGAGGGCCGTATCTGTCTGCTTCGTGCCCTGTGTTGTGTGAGACCCGAGAAGGGCCGGCTCCCCTGCCTAGAGGTGTAGAAATGGACATCAGATAGGGCAGGAGTTGTCCCTTAGGGACCCCCAGGAGTGGAGAAGGGAAATCTCCATGATGAGGGAAGCAAGGGCCCCTTTTCTTCACCAGCCATAATAGAAACAGCACCCAGAGGTCGTTAGCTTTTCAGTGGCCTGCAAAAAACCTGAAGGAAAGAAATTGTGGGCCCCAAAATACTAAGTGAAAACTGCAGAACCAAAATGCAGAAGCATTTAGTGAGATGGCTATTACAAAACAACAACAACAACAACAACAACAACAAAAAACACCTTCAGCGCTGCCCAGCTTCGGATCAGCTCTTTTTGTTGTTTTTTGTACCCAGGATTGAACTCAGGACCTTGTGCTTGCAAAGTAGGCAGCAGAACCACTGAGCTAAATCCCCGGCCCCTAGCTCTTTTGTGTTGAGCACACACCACACTTCATGCAGGTGTCAGACTCTTCTCAAATCTGTGATCACCAGGGAGTTGGTCTCAGGAAACAGGAGCACCCCAGCCTGATTCTTTTCTTTTCTGGGCAGTGCTGGGGATTGAACCCAAGTCTTTGCACTGAGCTATATTCTCAGCCTTTTTATTTATTTATTTCGGGTGACAGAGTCTTGCTAAGTCACTGAATTGTCTAGGCTGGGTTTGAACTTGTAATCCTCCTGCCTCAGCCTCCCAGATTGCTGGGATTACAGGTGTGCACGGCGCCCAGCTCCAGTCAGGTCACAAAAGGGTCCTGCCCACCCCTAGTTTCAGTCTCCACCATCTCTCCGGGAAGCAGGGAGGACACATCTTCCTCTGAAGGGGCGAGGGGTAATCCTCACAGCACAAGAGCGCTGCCCCACCAAGCCGCTGTGCTGGGCTCCTTCCTGGAATCCTCGTGCCACCTCTCACCCCACCCCAAGGCAGGGCCGTCACCCCCATGTAGCAGATGAAGAAACTGAGCCTCACGGGTGGAGGCCCTCGTCCCACGTCACAGTGGTAGGAAGAGGCAGAACCGGGGTTTGAGGCCAGGGTTGGCTGCTGTCAGGACCTGGGCCTACCCCGCCTTGTTGCACATCTGGTTAGGGGAAAGAGGAGAGGAGGCCCGGGGAAGAGACCTGGCTGAAAGCAAAGCAGCAGTGGGAATCCACAGCCGGGTTTCGCAGATGAGGAAACCGAGGTGGCTCACAGGCTGGAAGTCATCGGCCCCAGGTTACACAGCACCGAGTAAGTGCCACGGCTGGCTCTGGACTGGACAGCCGGCATCGAGGCCGGGCGGGGAGGAGGGACAGTCACAGACGAGAGGCCCCAGAGGAGTCTGGCCTGGCGCACCTGCAGGGCTCCTCTCCCTAGGCCTCGGCTCCCACAGGCCCCGACCTGCCTCCCCCACCCTCTGTCCTGCCCCTTCATCCAGCAGGAGCCCCACCTTTTTGTCGCCCCAGTTTCCCCCCAGTCTCTGGAAAGGAGAGGGAGGTATCTGGAGGAGGCCAGGCACCCCGGGGGGCCCAGGCTGTGAGTAAGAAGGGGGCGGGGAGAGAGACACTGTCAGAGAGACAGAGAGACAGAGACAGAGACAGAGAGAGAGTATGAAGACCGAGCCCAGAGAAACACCAAGACGGAGAGCATTAGAGGAGAGGACATGCAGGGAGCGACTGAGAGCAATTGGCAAGACCAGGGAGGGCACACAGGGGCAGAACCCTGGGGACAGGAAGGCCGCACACGTCCACACAGACGTGCCTGCGCGCACAGAATCACTGGACAGCAGAGAGCGACACAGAGACAGGTCCAGGGAAGGGCGCACGGAGAGAAGAGGGCTTGGAGAGGTGACTGAGGCAGGAGGCAGGTGGGCAGCGCCCCAGGAGGGCCCCCACACCCCGCCCCCAGGGCGATAAGGCAGGGCTTGGAGGCCAGTCATCCGGCCCCGCCCGGGCCATCCCTGCCTGCCTGTCTGCCTGGTGCCTGGTGCTCCGACCCAGCCTGCCGCAGCTGCCACCGCCGGGCCCCCAGAGCCCCAGCCCCAGAGCCTGTGAGTGAGTTGGGGAGGGAAGGGAAGGCCCCTCGTGGAGTCTGCAGGCCCAAGGCCAGTCTTCCTCTGCCCCCTGGCTCTGTCCTCCTCAGCCTGGGTGGGGACCTCTTTCTCTCTCTCTCTCTCTCTCTCTCTCTCTCTCTCTCAGCCTCTGCATCTCTCATATCCAGTCTTGCTGCCCCCAACCTTGGTGACCTCTGACCCCAGCTTCAGTTGCTAAATACAGCCCTTACTTCACCTACGCCCCCACCCCCGCTGGCCAGGGCAGCTGAGGACACGGGCCCTCCCCCAGGCCAGCCCCGCCCAGCCCTGTCCGGCTTCCTTCCAGAGACTCAGGGTTCCGCAGGGGACAGGGCTGGACACTGGCCCACACAGAGTCCCCTCCTTCACCGTGGGAGGCAGCCTCACAGGCCTCATCACATCACCCTGCTACTGGGACAACAAAAATGGGACGGCTACCCAGCGGGGCCCAGCTCCCCGGCCTCCCTAACCCAAGCAGGGGGAGTGGGAACCAGAAAAGCATTCTCCAAAGTGTGCTAGGCTGCCCCTGGGCAGCCCCAGCCCCACAGTGTCCACAGCTGACCAGAAGCCCCTCCAAGACCACCATGGAGGCCAAAGACTTCAGAGTTGAGGGTTTGGTGTGTTGAGAGGACGGGGGTCCCCAAAGCTTCCTTCTGCCTGGGAGAAGCAGACAGGGCAGGCAAGGGAGACAGGCGAGGTCACCAGGCAGCCCTGTATCTCCCCTTAAAGTGACCAGGCCCCTGTCTCCCTCCTCATTCCCAGGCGCCTGCCCTGGCTCCTTCCAGGCCATGAGGATTCTTCGACTGATTACACTTGCTCTGGTGACAGGTACGGAGTACTGGGGACAGACAGGCTCCTCTCAGAACGTCTAGGCTTCCCCGGAGGGGCAGGATGCCCCTGGCTACAGCAGGTGTCAGTGTTTCAGATGTCAGAACCAGGGGAGGTCGGGGTAGCCCCAGAGGCCTGGCCTCTTGGGAGCGGGGTGAGAGGTGGGAGCTCTGGGGCAGCTACTGGTCCATCCGCGTGGACGGATTTCAGTCCTTCAAAGCAGGACCCAACGGTGTAGCGATCCTGGTGGACACCAGATGGTAGCCCAGACCACTGCCTGTCTCCCTCCCACCTCAGTTCTGGGGACCCCCGCCTACCTCTTCCCCCGCCTGAGCCCCTCTTCCACCCCACCCTCCTCCAGGGCAGGTAGGAGGAGAGACCCGGATCATCAAGGGTTTCCCGTGTCCGCCTCACTCCCAGCCCTGGCAGGTGGCCCTGTTCCAGAAGACACGGCTGCTGTGCGGGGCCACCCTCATCGCCCCCCAATGGCTCCTGACAGCAGCCCACTGCCGCAAGCCGTGGGTGCGGGGGCTGGGGCGGGGCCGGGAGGGGGCTGGGAGGTGGAGACGGTGGTGGGGCGGTCAGCGTAGGTGTCAGGGAGGGGCTGGGACTGCAGGAGTTGGAGCGGGCGATACGGCTGGGGATTGGGGGGGTGGGGGCCCAGCGTGGAGAGGGGCGGTGGTGGGAGAAGCCGGAAGTGGCCGGAAGTCCCTTCACTGTTGCGGGTGTCTCGCAGCGCCTGCCTCTCAGTGTCCCGCACCTCTCCACCTCTGATCGCGCCCCCTCTCCTCTGCAGTAATTACCGGGTCCTCCTGGGGGAGCACAACTTGCATCGGGAGGATGGCTATGAGCAGAGGCAGACGGCCACCGAGTCCTTCCCCCACCCCGGCTTCAACAACAGCCTCCCCAACAAAGACCACCGGAACGACATCATGCTGGTGAAGCTGCCCAGAGCGGCTGACATCACCCAGGCCGTGCGACCCCTCTCCCTGCCATCGCACTGTGTCACCGCTGGCACCAACTGCCTCATTTCTGGCTGGGGCACCACATCCAGCCCCCAGTGTAGGGGAACGCAGAGGGCGTGGGAGGGAAGGCAACTGTGAGGGTGTGGGAACTTCAGCGAGGACAGGCCGGGACCCAAGGGGAGCTCTCTGGGGTGTGAGCAGGGGACCCGTGGAAAGAAGAGGAAAAGTCAGGGCTGGGGAGGGTGGAGAGTTTGGGCTGAGGAGCAGGCAGATGTGATCCGTAACTTGTGCAGTTGTGGGACCCTGGACAAGTGCTTCACCTCCGTGGACCTCAGTTCTCTTCCCTATAAAATGAGAGCAACACACCCACCTGTCAGGGTTGGATTAGCGATAAGGAGTGAGGAATTTACTCAATAGCGTTATTGTTGTGGATGCTGCGGACAGATGAGCTGGCTGCAAACAGAAAGGCAGAGGTTCTCGTAGGAGCTGGACAGGACACAGTGGCCCCGGGGGCAGGGACCCTGGGGGCTCACTCCCAACACCTCCTGTTTCCACAGTGCGCCTGCCCAACACCTTGCGATGTGCCAACATCTCCATCATCAGGCACGGGGAGTGCGAGCGCGCCTACCCAGGCAACATCACAGACACCATGGTGTGTGCCAGCGTGCGGAAGGAAGGCAAGGACTCCTGCCAGGTCAGCCAACCTCCGTGGCATCGTCACCGACACCCACGGTGTACCCCAACCCAACTCTGTCCCCCCAACTAAATCCATGTCCATCCCCAGTTGCCATTCTGACTGCGGTGAAACCTCTGGGGCCCCTCTCCACCCCCATTCGTAACCCAGCGTTCCCCAAGCCGAAGTTTGACCCTAACCCCCACCCTTACTTCCCACCCTGTCAGCAGCCCCTCCCTCTCTCCTCACCCCCCAGTGGTAGTGTGGGGGACCACTCTGACTGGTTCTCTCTCTCCTCCTGCCCAGGGTGACTCTGGGGGCCCTCTGGTCTGTAATGGGTCTCTTCAAGGCATTATCTCCTGGGGCCAGGACCCATGTGCAGTTTCCAGAAAGCCCGGTGTCTACACAAAAGTCTGCAAATATGTGGACTGGATTCAGAAGATTATGCACAACAATTAGCAGCACCGTCAAAATCTCGAGGTTTTGAAGTTTGCCTGTTCTTATAAGAAACCCTAAGTCAAGATCATATCATGTCATTTGCCTTCGATACATGAGGTACTACATACAGCTTTGCAGTCCGCTTGGGGTTTGGATTCAGAATCCTGAGTTCAAGTCCTGACTTGGACGAACTTGTCACTCTGGAAATGATCATAAGTTTGGTCTCTTACTTTATCCCCGGTCCCAAAACCATTCTTGGCAAAGATGAAGTTCTAATAAATATTTGAAGAATGAATGAATCTACTGAGTCCTTAGTACGTGCTGGATCCTGGTTCCAAGGGCTTTTAAATATAGCAACCAAATGCATCCTCCCTAAACCCTATGGGGCCAATGCTATTATTACACCGTTTTACAGATGAAGGACACGGAGGTATGGGGAAGTGAAGTCCCTTGGCCATGCTCACACAGCCAGGAAGTGACAGAGCAAGGATTTGAACAAGGTGGTTTTTTGATGTTCCCTGATCAAGGCTCAGCTTCCTTACTGTATACTTGCACCTGCAAAATAAGGATGGTATAGCAAATCAGTCAGTCCGCACACAGCAAGCCCTTGAAAAAAGGAGCTGTCTGTGTTATTTCCCGGCCTCCACGAGAGGTAGCTCAATGAGGCCGGTGCTGGCCAATATGGTTACTTTTAACCACACAAAGCGATTTAAACTTCACCCATTTCAAAGGCGCCAGAGCCGAGTGTTAGCACGGATGGAGTGCCGCCACCGTCGCCAAGTTTGATTGGACAGGACCAAGCTAGGCAACCTCGTGACTTAATTTTGTTTAGTTTTGTTTTGTTTTTGGTGCCAGGGATTGAACTCAGGTCCTCGGCATCACCACTGAGCTAAACTTAATTTTTGAGACACGATGTTCCACAAACAATCCAGAACTCAGGATGTTTTCCAGCGGTCCGCTCCCCTCGCAGGAGAGGAATTCAGGGCCCAGCACTGGAAAGAGGGCTTTCAGGTTTTTCGGTGGACTTGCTGTGCAACCTCTTGTGAGTCACTGTCCTCTGTGAGCTTCTCATTCCTCACTTGAATGAGGGAGTTGGCCAAGTTGAGGTCGATGCCCCTTGCAGACCCGGGCTCCCGTGATTCATGGGCCTGAGTGTCACCTGGAGATATATAGATGGCAGTGAGATGGCCACACATGGCATGATGCAGAGCCACAACCCTGAAACACACAAGAGGGCCAGTCCCTGGGACACCGGAAGTGAGCCCACTGCTCCAGCCTGGCCAGGGAGGCGGGAAGTCCGGACAGCATCACCAGCCTGCCTCCCTTCCTGCAGCAGTACGTCTTCGCCTCGGCTTCTTTCTGCCTCCCGAATTATCGGTCTCCCTTTCCCAGCCAGTATCTGTCCCTCCTACTCTCCGCCAGTCTCTCCCTCCCTCCTTCCCTTCCGCATTCTGGTGTTTCTCACTCTGCCACGTGAAGCACGCATCTCCCTGTTTATTTCCTCCCTCTCACTCTTATCACCTCCCACCCCACCATCCACGCTCCTCGGGGACCCACACCCTCCCCCACACACACCTGGGAGGACTTCTGGAAACAGGAGAGGGGAACCCCCAGTTATCCAGCTCCCAAAAGGGTGTTTGGGGCACTGGGAGAAGCCAGTATCCCAGGGCCCCTCCCAGGGCAGGAATCTGGGGCCCGGGTTGGGTGCCAGCCCAACCCACGACATAATTAAGGAGAGAGAAAGGGAGGGAGGGAGCGCCACGGGGGAGGGAGGGGAAGCTTCCGGGATCCTCAAGGTTAAAAAGGAAGGTTGGGCCAGGGGTCTCTGGGCAGAGGATTCCGGCAGCCCTCACAGCGGGGCAGAGGCGCCTCTCCGAATCTCCTCCCTCCCTCCTATTGGCAACTTCCAGGTGAAGGGGGACGCACCCCACCCTACCTGGGGCGATGGAGAGAATGGGTGGGGACCCTCAGGCCACTCCTGGGAAGGAACCCTGTGGAGCCTCAATTTCCATGAATGGGGGATGGGAAAGTCCCCCAGCTGTGAAGTTTGGGAAGAGGTTTCCACTGGCTCAGAGCCTCGGTCCCCCTCCATCTGCGAAGGAGGCTGACCCTGGCGCGGTGCGGCTAGCAGGGAGGCCAGAGGGAAGCCAGTGACGCGTTATTAGGGTAATTGTGCCCATTAGACCTGTTCTGGACCATTGTCGCTGCAGTGCCCTCCCGCAGCTTCGTCAGGATCCACGCGAGGTGGTGTGGCCCTGGCGGATCGGGCAAGGGTCATCGGTTTTCACTCGCCTCGTGCACCCCAGTTCAGTCCTGGCTATGAGACCCCCGCACCTCCACCTTTCTACCACCTCCGGCGCCCGGGCCCTGGTGAAGCCGCTGCTTCCGCTACTGATGGCGCAACTCTGGGGTGAGCCGGGGCACAGGGGGCAGGGGAGGTGCCGAGATCGGGGGTGGAGAAGGTTCTATCACCGATCCTGTCATACCTGTCTTTCCCCCTGCGACCCCTGCGACCCCTGCGACCCCTGCGACCCCAGCGTTCCGGAGCAGGGCGACCCGCATCTGAGGTGCCTCTCTTCTAGCTTCTTCCCTGGGCACCCCGCCCCATTCCAGCCCCTTCCTCTTTGCACCTCCAGGATCCCGACTCCTCTTCTCTCCCAGCCAAATTCTTTCTCCTCTCCTTTTACCCCGCCTGTTTCTATCGCTGCCCCTTCTTACTGTGCCCTACTTTATTTTATCCAAGTCTTACCGCTTTTTGCCCTCTCCCCTTCTCCAATCCCGTTCGGTTATTCCCACCCTTTCCCTCCCACGGCGTTCGACTCTGGCCACGCCCCGTAACCTTACAGTTGGGTTCTAGCCACGCCTCTTCAACTCCCAGGGTTCTATCCCGCCCTTACCCCCCGCCGCGAGCCCTGACCACGCCCC